TCCCAGCCATCTTTCATATCGATCACTATTACATGATCGCAAATTCATTGTCGAGTGCATGTTTAAAAATAGAGTTCAGAATGAATTCCCTGGAAATATCTGGACAGTAAAATTTGTTTGTTCATCGCACGCAAGAAATACCAACGTTGTGGAATACACTTCCCAACCATCTTTCACATTTTATATCGATCACTATTACATGATCGTCGAGTCATTGTCTAGTACATGTTTAAAAATAAGGTCAATTGTGTTGAAAAAAATAGAGAACAGAATGAATTCCCTGGAAATATCTTGACAGTAAAATTTGATTGATCGGACAGTTATACATAATTGCAGGGCCGGTGGTGAATAAGGTGAAACAGTCGTTTAAAGTTCAGACTGCTGTAAATGCTCCACTTTTTCGTTTCATAAATTGTTGTCGGGGTTCAGATTTTGATAAATGTCGTTCGTGTAGTCTTTTCCGAAAATATCGAAAAGTTCATGTTTAGTGATAGAACTAAAGTTGCCGTGTCAGACCGCGTTCTTAAAAAAGTTTGGATCAATTATTGCAAGTCGAATATATAAAGAGGATGGTTAGACCAGTTCCATAATTGCAGAAATCCATCGAAAAGAATGGCGTCGAAATGCAGCGATAAGGCTTTCATACGATTGTATGAAGATAAAGAATTAGCATATAATTATGCGATATATCGCCCCCCCTACCCCACCGCGGTACGTGAAACAATTATCAAGTATTTAGAGAAAAATTGCAATGCGAAAAATAAAGAAGGAAAGTTTGAAAAAATGTTGGATGTAGGATGTGGAAGTGGAACATTGTCAACGCAAACTTTTGCATCGTATTTTGAATCAATACTGGGGATTGATATCAGCGAAGCTAAAATTAAGGAAGCAAAAAGACTGAACAAATGTAGAAACGTTGCTTTCGAATGTATAGAAGGTTATGAATTCCCTGTGGAAGACAATAGTGTTGATCTTATCACATGCGCTTCTTCCATTCATTTTCTTGATCTAAAATTATTTGAAAAAGAATGTGAACGAATTCTAAAACCTGGCGGATGTTGTGCAGTCTATGCAATTAATTGGGGAAATATTACAGGCTTCCGCGTTGGAGGAACTGACTGGAGACTAAAGATGGTTTTGCTCTATTTGATTGTTGAAGATTTTTATATCAGTGTGAAAGCACATCCAAATAATTTTGCGGCAATTCGACGAAATCAACAAATTTATGATCAAATCCAAAATTCATCTAAAATAAAGCTTCAAGAAATAGTAAGTGGAAGAGAAATGACGCTTTGTCAACTCAAAAATGTTTTCCGCACTTTGGGTGACTACGTCATTTTTATGAAACAAGAAAAGCCGGCAAAAGATCCTCTCGAGATTTTTGACCAAAACATAAGACAAGCACTCAAGCTCGGAAACGATTTATCGGATGAGAAAATATTTTTAAAATCTGAAGAGGTGTTTCCCATTTTTGTGTTTACAAAGCAAGTCACTTCCAGACCCGACAGAGTTTTATGAGCAAAATTGCATTTATTGAAGAAAATCACTAAATATATATAAATGTATACTGTCAATCTGTCATATTTCATTGTTTTAATTTCGATTGTTACCCCAACCTAATTATTTCATGAAAAGTAACATTATCAGGCTTGTACGTGGTAATGGGATTCCCATGGGAAACGTCCCATCCAAAGCTTTTCGTAGTGTGCAGTCCAGGGATTTCGCAAGTTCTTGCTAGGCTCCCAAATATTGTTTTTGTTATTGTATATTTTCACTGTTTTTAAACTTTAAAAACTTTAAAAACGTTACTGTTCGTGATATGTTTGCTTATATATGTATAGTATAGCCCATACAATTTTGACAATAAAAGATGATTAATTGTACATGAGTAATAGAGCCTCCATGACGTTTCATTGGGGTTTCGTACCGCCAAAAAGGTTGAAAATCGCAGGTTGAAAATCGAGAAAATTTCATGTTCGAGTTGATTTAGGACATTTTTTTTAATTTTGTTTATGTAAAAAAACACATTGGGTGAAGGATTTTTTAGAAGCAACTGTATTGTAGAATATTCTGGCTTTTTTTTTTTATCTGTTCTCGATATTCACGATATATATGTAGTGAATAGATCCTTCAGTGTAAGGCAATAGAATTAGTCTATTTTCACTCAGACATTCTTACGATTTTCAGATGGTTGAATCAAAGGTTAGGCTACTTCTCACATTTGTAAGAAAACAAAACGCTTCCAGATTACATACAAATATATTCCAACTTCAAACAAGTCAGCTATTCTGTACTGTATAGACAGGGTTACCATATCGTGCTTATTTCTAAGATTTGTGCTTATTTTCTAGCCCGCGTCTTATATGAGGCAACGATGTGCTAATTGCTAAGAAAGGTGCTTATTTTTGATTCGTGTACTTATTTTGTCTTAGAAATAAGTATGACATGTTCTTGTTTTGCGTACTTAACTGTGGGGTTTGCGGTGTTTTCAGTCAAACTGGGACACAGTTATAGTTGCTGCTAGTTTTTAGGGACAAACCACAATTTAGACAATGAGAAAAGGAAAAATATTAATTAATGCCCACGATACTACCATGCATAAAAACTATATTCTTCAATCTTTAATAGATCCTCAGCTAGTGTTACGCAAGTCGAAATCCAGCTTTTGGTTAGTTCAACTAGTTACCACACAACAAAAAGAGGCATTGCACGGAACCAAAATATAAAGACATTAGAATAAGGTTCGACAAACTACGGCCCGCGGTGTAAAATGATCTGGTCCGCGATGGTCACTGAAATTTAGCGACAAAACGGCGGCTGTGATTTTCAACCATAATTTAATTCTATAATCTCAAGAAGCAGATTGTTGGACAGAGAGTGGACGGACCTTTGGATCCTTTGTTATTATGTTGTTCTTTAATTTCTCCTTCCTATCGCTTTTCTTTTCAATTACTGGACCAAAATGAAATTTTTAGTGCGTAGAACTGGGATTAGTGATACCCCTTTAAAAATGCTCTAATTTTGGCTTCATCCAGTGTGTTACCTGATGTCGAGTAGGTATCAAGCGTAATGCAACACCAAGTGCCACATTAAATATCATTCGTAAATTTTTGCATAGTAAGACGACTTGGGTCCACGAGTTGTGGCAGTGTTCACCCGCTATTCAAAATCCAAAATTTCAACTTCCGATTTGTGTGAAAAATGTAATTCATCAGCCACACGTTCAGTTTTTAACTTTCTTAAAAAAATATGTGCGGTCCGCCAAGATTTGTAACTCTTGATTTTGGCCCGCGGAGCAACAAAAGGTTTCCGACCCTTACTTTAAAGGTTGCGTGTGGCAGTGACCCCGTGTCTTTCCTGGCTTATTGTGATTTGCATGCAACCGTGTTGGAAGCGACTTCTATTAATAAATATTTTGGAATGCGAAGGAGTTCGTGTATGATTTCTTTCTCATTTTTATTCTTCGTTTTTTCCGTCGCTAAGTCCCCCCTCCCACCCCCCTCAAAATGTGTATAGAGAACAACCTGCTTATGGTTAAAACTAGATTTTAGGCAAAGAAGAATATTAAACTCCGAAATAGAGTATCATTATAATATGCTGATTTGCTTTGCTACTATATAAGACTTGGTTTAGGTTTTCAAATGAAGTCAAATATAATTATTATAATACTCAATATAACAAAGTTGTCTTCGACCAGCTACTTCATTCACAAATCATTGATGCGCGTTTGTCATAGGTATATTGTTACTTTAACAGGTGCTGCTATACGACGCTATACCTGTTCACGACCTATTTTCTTAAAGGCACCAGAAATGATCCGGCAGGAAATTGTGTCATTCGCTCAAAGAATACGACGAACTCTGTTTATCTTAGACTTTTTGTTAACTTTAGAACTGGCTACTATCACTTTTGATTATCAAAAGTTTAAATTTTTATCACGTCCTTGATTCGCAGCTTAAGTTTTTACCCGCCTGCGGTTGAACACTCGGAGTTGTTGCGTGCAATTCAACTGCAGAAAAAGATCGATAAATTTATTCCAAAGTATTCTTTGTCACATATTGTCAACCTCGAAAAAATTCCATCGCCTACAATTCAATGTTTTCTTTCACACGATGTTTGCAGCACATAAATTTTAGTCACGAATATGACACATGCGATTGTCAAAGCTAATCATTCAGATGTGACATTTGAATCCGCACGAAAAACGAATAGAGCTCGACGCAAAGCTATTCTGCTTTTTCTATGCTATACAGATATGATTGAAAAACACCCAGATAGTTTCGAAGCTTGAAATTTATATCAGAAGTGACAGGGTCTGACTTCGGGGGAGTGAAGTCGCGAGATCGTCCGCTGTGAATCGCTATCGTTATGCAAATGCGCAACAAGGATGAATTTGGATTTAGACTATTATCAGGATTATATAAACTATTTTAAAAATGTATTGAAAGCAATAAGATAGATGGCATTTTTATAACCTGTTAATACCTACGAGGTTGATTTTTAAAATTTTTGAGAGGAACAAGGAGAGTAATTACGATGACGATCATTATAAATTTTTGTGGTCAAATTCAATTTTAGAGTAATGAATATTCAGAAATATACCGGTAAAAGCTGGCTACATCCCAAAAAGTCCAAATGGAAGTTTTGGTTTACTGAAGGCATCTGAGAGCAACAAAACTTAAAAATACACTCACTGCGATTTGTCTATAATCTATATTATGAACACATTTAAATCCGTTGCACAGTGCTTCCCGTAGTGTTGTAGTTACTAAACCGAGGTGCAATATATAATGCTACTTTAACTTTGTTTTCAATTGTCTCATTTATCACGAAAAGCAATCCCATCGCCGTGATATCTGTCGTGTCTGATTTTTATCCACTAAATCGTCCTGAATTGAACCAATCTCGTGGTTAATCGAAAAAGACTTTCTTCCTCCACCTTCATACTTATCAGATTTTTCTAATAAATGTTGTTCATTAACAATTTATTTCAGAAGCATAATTCGTAAACGACATTCCCGAAGAAATCAAAATGGAGTACAAATCGTACGCCCGAAGATGGCTTTTGTTGATGATACTCTGTATCATTTCTTTCACGCAAATTTATACGACAACAGGATTTGCTATTTTACACGATGTCGTTGCAAATTATTTCTCCATCACTCCCTATCAAGCGGATATACTTACGATGGTTGGACAGCTAATTGCTTTTCCAGTAGGCATAGGCACAGCCTACTTTGCCGATATTCTATCCTTGCAAGCTTTGATGCTGGGAATGTTGATTTCACTTGAGATTGGTTCCTTAATGTGCGCAATAGGATTTAGTTCAAGGTAAAATTTTTAATAATTAATAATAAGGTGTGTAGATGCATGGGTACACCATTGTTTGTGCTGGTAGGAATCATAAGTAAAGTAAAAATACTAAACTTGCATATTAAATGTGTTCAGTATAGTAGCGTTTGGGAAGCTCGCGTAGTTAACTCGACTCGATTCACCATTTATCAGAGACCCTGGTAATCTAAAGTCTGAACTCTTTTACTAATCATTGGTGAGACTAAACTTGACTCCAATTCGAAGATCGAATGGTTTGTGACTTAAGCTTATGGTTTAGGAGTTTGTACACAACACTAAATATTTAGTTTTTGGAACAAAATATGGTACCGTTCGAAACGAAAAACAGTTGAATTGCGAATTCATAGCAGCTGTATATTCTATTTTGTGACTTATTTGTTTTTAGGGAATTATTCTACGTCACTGCTGTTGGAAGAATCATGATGTCTTCGATCATGGGCGTGCTTCGCGCAACGCAAGTTGTATTAGCAGCAAATTGGTTTTTGCAAAATGAAACAGCCACTGCGTTCGCGCTGCCACAGTTTTTCATGAAATTAGCTGGAATCGCTGGTTCGCTGATCTATCCACACACTATTCCAAAAGTGCATATTACTGCAAATGGAACTGAGGAATACACTTCAACGACAATACTATTCACCGCAACAAATGGGATATTCAGTACCATCGTTTTAATTGCTCTTATAGTTGGAGCGCTTTACTGCAAAAATTATCCGCCGTCACCTCCGAGCCGATCTCAAGAACAACTTATTTTATCAACTACGGATTCGGCAAAAAATATGACGAATAATAGACGCTTGAGCGCTATATGGAACGTTGTAAATTCAAAACCATTTGTTCTTATTAGCGCGGCATTTTTCTTCGCAAGCGTTTCACTTTCATACGTGGTATATCTGATGCCTTCTTTCGTCCTCTCGTCGTTTCCTGAGTTGGATAATACTACACCTGGTTATATTTCAATTAGTAGGACAGCTGTGTCCGCTTTAAGTGCAATGGCGACGGGGAAAATCTTGGATAGATACAAAGCATTCAAGCTGACTGCATTCGTCGGTAAGTAAGCGTCGATGATTCGTTTAATTCACACAGTTTACACAATACAGTTTGAACACTTCCATCATTTATATCCTTGCTTTTTTATAGGTATTGCCGGAGTGGCGTTGTCACTGTTATGCCTTTATTATGCACATTCCTACAAACTTCTTTCTCTGATATACACTGGGTACTGCGTGGCGGCTGTCGGTCAAAGTGTATTGATTACAGCCAATGTGGAGCTTCTAGTCGAAACAACATATCCCTGTGATAAGCTGCGTATGATGTCCATATACGGCGGCATCGCTGGCCTCGGAGTGTTTCTTTGGACAAGTGCTATAAGAGCAGTAAAGGAAAAGTTTAACGTTCCCAGTGCAACAATCCTAGCGACTGCAGTTGCCACTGTATCAATGTTGCTAATTCTATCAGTGAGTCCAGATTACAAACGACTAAAGACTGACAAAACCAAATCAGAAACGCTCACCGATAGACTCAATGAAAACCATTGACGTTGCTCCTACTAGATGTGTGATAATTGAGTTTTACTCCCTCATGGATGAACAATTATTATACATTGTAAATATTACATAAAGACATTGTATATTGTAGTTCGCGATTTGGGTTTGATGCAACCATATTTCGAAACGTTTTTATAATTACTTTCGCATTATTTTGAGCAAATGTTTTTAATCTATAAATATAAGTTTAACATTCCTCACTGTTGGTAATTTTCGAACATTTCATTCCATTTCTTAAAAATTCGTAGAAATACCAGTTTTCCACACTTCGCGCCCTTCAAGAAAAATAATTTGAAATGTAGGTGCGATTCTCAAAGGTTCTTCTACGAATATAGTTGTATTCATTTCGACATTTTAACCAGAGCAATTATCAGCATTCACTTACTCACGTATAATATGCAGGTACTGTAAAATGTGCATTGATTAATAAACAGAATTATGAAAATAATCTTATGGTATATTTCATTCTTAGATTGCGTGCAGTCTATGCCAATGAGCAGCACAATGTATGACATCTAGGCCAGTGGTTCCCAAGTGCCTGTTCGCGGAGCTTTTTTGTCGGTCCGCGAGAAATTTCATTGTTTTTATGCCGTCTCAATCGCTTTACCTAAAACGACGTTGCATTGGTCCATTACGCAATTTCTCTTTCGCCGTCGTATTGCGACATCTTGGCGCCGAGTAATTACGCTTTTTCGGCTATGATTCATCGCGAATGCGCTCCATCAAATCTCGAAAGATTCAGAAACCTAAAAATCGACACACGTGCTTTTCCTGATTAATGTGACCATCTATATAAACTCTATGCATATTTCTTTGTTTAAACCAGAAAACAGTGAAGAACAGTATAATATTCCAGTAAGACATGAACTTGTTGCGACCCTGCAGGGCAGGTGGGTCACGAGATGCGCAAAAAAGCATAGGCCGCAGAGATCTTTTCCAGTATTTTGAGCAGGCAGAGTAAGATTTTGAACCTCGTGCCAAAGTTATCGACGACATTGTCATTGTGATGTAAATTTATTTCGTCTGAGGCTTCGATCAACTGCAGCGGTATTAATATGATAAACCCAATGAAGAAGATTGATTAAAATTGTGATTCTACTTTACAGTCCAGATTTAAAAAAGAATCACTGTCACAATTTTGGATATATCTTGATAACGAATATCGCTAAGTAATCGAGCAATCAAACTGTTGCCCGTATTTTCAACCAGATACTTGTGCGTTATGCGAAAAAACTTTTTTATCACTAGCTTTGATTAAAACGAAGCAAAGAAATCGGCTGCACACGCTGCAGAGCTACGGGTTGCAGAACCTCCTTTGAGGCCTCGTTTAAAACCCAATATTGGAAACAGCAGCAAAATTCTCACTAGAGTTAATTGTGTTTGTACATGATTTGGCATGTACATGTTTTTTATGTGAGATGTTTTGCGTGTGCCGTTCTTACGCATAATGGGTGCCCAGCAATGCATTTCATCACGCAAATATATGGTATTATTTTATGTTTCACCATTTCAATTTTTGACCGACACTTTATTTGATAGTTTTTCTTCGTGTGAAATGTTTTTAAATGTGCCTTTTTTGTCTAGGAGCATATCGAGTGCCCGATATTGCATTATATTACGCAAATATATGTTATTCTTTTCGGTTCCGGTTATTTCAATTTTTTCGCTAGTCTGCGAGTACATTTAATTTTATCGGTCCGCCAGGGTCTACGCCAGGGCTCCCAAAACTTTTGAGCTCGCGGCTCTTTTTAATATCTTGAAATTTTTCGCGTCCCTTGTTCACGTTAATAATGCTAAGTTCGAAATATGCATTTTTATTATTATATTGACACAGCCAAAACTCAACTTTTATTAGGCCTACTCAATAACAAAATCAAGCACATATTTACTCAGATTAACGTTACTCATCTATTCAGTGAATGCTTTTCGCTGCATAGCGAGTCCAGCCGTGGCTCAATGTTTGTTTATGCATGCCTAAATGATGAATTACGATGTCTGGCCGATGGCATGGTCCTTATCCGGAATTGTTACTCACTCTTATTGATCAAATTTAGTATATAAGGCAGTGGTTTGTGCGACGCCAAATTATCAGAAAAAAACTCGCGGCGCAACTACACTAAATATATGCTGCCTCAAAATGTAACACAATTTTTTCATTTTTAATCTGTACATTATGCCTTTTGAGGTTTATAAACAATGTTAACTTTTATTTCATATCCCTGACTGGTTTTACCTTAAAATGCTAAAAAATCACTCATGTTCGATAATCTCGGTTCAGCAAATGATATCATATACACATCATTTGCAATAATGAGAAACAATAAAGCATTTAGAATAAATAATATAATAAATATTTAGCACAAATATATATCCTAATTTTTAAAGAGCACTTAGCAAATCGGGTCTTACGATCAGAATATTCACTGTTATGCAAGCGCGATAATTCAACCGCGTTCCCCCGAAAATAAGACCAAGCCTGGATGTTAAAAATGAATAAACTATACGCCCCCCGGTATTCATATTTAGTATATTAAAAATCTCGCTATTCTCTACCTACATCCCCACGTATAAGCCCTAGTGTTATTTTCGAAAGAAAATTGAAGACACTGTCTTACTTTCGGCGAAATTCAATCGTAACCGTGAAATTTTTGTTTTACACTATTTATAATAATTGTATTTCGAATCAAGAGTCTGATAAAGTACAACAGATATAGTACTTTGTGTAAAATTAGTGTTCTCTTTGCGGCCCCTAAAGTTCGTTTCCCGCTAGTTTGGGAAGCCCTGATCTAGGCGACAAGATCCCCTTATAACCTAAACCAGGGGTGTCCAAACTGCGGCCCGCAGAGAAGTGCCAATTTTGAATGGTGTGCCCGCGATACAAGTTTTTAGTTTAGTTATTCTGCTACATGCGAACCATTCCAATCCTTTTGTATCGCAAAGCCTATACCAGTACTTGAGTGCTAGTGCCATTTTAGTAAAAATAGCTAGCAGAATCCAGTTGCAAAATACACAATGTTATGAAAACGTGTTTCTCATTGAATTCGTTTAACTCATCATTTCAGAAAGAACCCCTAACACACTGTAAGATCAATAACAAAATAAAACATTTTTCGTGCTTGAAACTATTAGAAAGAATATTTTAAATAAAGGTGCGGCCCGCGGCTTCACCCAATTACGTGGATCTGTTCCTCCTGGAATAAAGGTTGCAGCCCCTTGACTTAAACCATAAATAGCAGGGTGCTCTGGTTTTTCTAAAAGCCAGACGCGTTTAGAAATTTCAAAATTTGGCTTTAAAAGTGGCTCGTGTGTTTAAAGAATTTTTGTTAACGTTTGCGTGTGCTCGTGTGTTTAATGAATTTTTGTTAACGTTTGCGTGTAGTGAATGAATGTAAACGGAGCTGTTACCGAACAAGTCTTTTGGTGGATATTTTCAACACCGTCGATTGTGAGTTTTCCCGACCCCATCGTCCTGTTATTACGGCCACAAGCCATAATTTGTTGCCGATATAGTCTTTGCACAAGGCACATTCAAAGTGTACAATTTTAGGCGTTCAAGAAGTGGGTGTACCAATATGGTGGTAACTAATTTTGTTCGTTGTCTAACACAGACAATCCCCGAACTCGTAATACAAGTAAATAAAGTAAGTCTTTACATCAAGTTGTGTAAATTAACTGAAACCTATGCCCAGGGGGGTATATTCACTTGGGTAACACAAACAGTCCTAGAACTCGTAACAGAACTAAAATAAGGAAAATCGGAATAAAATTAAGACCTAACCCTAACCTGTTACACACACTACGGAAGTACCCAATTTTATTTAGATAGCCAGTCACCCTTCAAAAATAGAATGAAAAAGTACCAATATGATTTGGCAAACACAATACTAATAAAATAGTAATTTGGCACAAATATGAAACAGAATGATTGTTCATGGAATTTACATTACAAAACTATAAATGTTGAGGTATTAAAAGCTTTATGAAATACCAACAATGGACATTGATGATAGTTTGTCTTGATTATTGCATTGATCTCAATGCTGTTCAATTCATAAGTGCAATGTGTATGACTGAACTAGGCAGAGAAAAAAAAAATACTGAAAATGAGAAACAAAATTATTCCTGTGCCTCAAAAATGTTGTGGTCCCAGTTTGCTACACTTGTCCCTGATCCGGGTTAAGAGTAGATATATATTGTGGGGAAAATGGTTCAAGTAAGCACATTATGTAAAATTTGTTCTGGATTATGACATATATAATACTTTGGAAGACGGTTAGAGTATTCATTTTAAGCGAGTTTTAAACAATAGAGACAAATGGGGCACAATATTTTTTAGACACCAAAACTATGCTACCAGTTACAAATATTGGAATCTTGCATAATGAACAAGACAAAAATAAATTTGTTCATTCTTTCAACAATTTCTTTCCTCCGATAGCAATTACTTTACAGACTTCAATATTTGCCCCCAATCTCATCAGCTCATCAATCCAAAGCTTTTGATTGGTTGATAATCTGTCACCAGGGCCTTTCACCTCAACCATCTACGAGAAAGGAATTGCCAAAAAATATTTGTTGTGGAATTCTAGTTTCAACTTTTTCATTAAACCACAAGAATAAACACGGTGTGGCGTACCGTGCTGAGTGCTAGTGACCCACGCTAAGAACCCACATTGGTTCAAGTCCTGTGGGGATAGATTGCTGGTTCATGTAACCGCTAGTCTCTCCACCATCAAGTTTATGCTTCTGAAACAAATGACTAGCTAACTATCCCTATACACAAAATGGACTGGTAACCGGAAGAAGAGACGCCACAGTTCACCTTGTGATGAATCATCTTATCAGATTTCCTCTGTGATAAATCGGAAAATCTTATTTATGTATCGAAATCTGATTTTTTTTATACTGCCTTTAAGCACGGCATTACAGGGGGTACTACCGTAGTGTGTTTAACAGGTTAGGGTTAGGCCATAGTTTTATTTCAATTTTCCTTATTTTAGTTCTATTACCATTTCGGGGAATGTCTGTGTTAGTCAAGTGAACATAGGCCCATAGGCTTCAGTCCCTTCACACAACTTGATATAAAATAGGCAAACTAAATTAGTTATCTTCATATTGGTACACACACTTCAGGAGCGCCTTGCGAGGCTGCTTCAATTTGTCAAATGTAAGATGGTAAAAACACATTACCTTATAAATTTTTTGTATTGGATTCCATACAACTAGATCTGGTAATCCACTTCTAGTATGACGAAGATCTTTAGCTAGGCGCCGGAATATTCCAGATAAAACTTTACCACCAATGCATGCAACAAAACCCTGAATAGAAAAATGTAGATGTAGTGTTCCCATGCATGTTTCTATAAATGAAACATGTAGTGTCAAGTCCAACATGACTCGAGAAGATTTGAAAAACAAAATGCAATAACCACTCTATTGCGACTCCTTCCATCTACATATACTGAAGATAATGTTCCATAAGTTGGAAGAGAAGGCAATTTTATCACAAGATTGCACTTCGTGTGTCAGGCTAGATATTCTTGACAATTGACATACCTTCGCCTCCTCTAAGCTGGCAAATATGTCCCAGTTCATGCCGGCACAAGCTTTCCCGTATTCCACATCCCATGTCATTGACATTATACTCAAAACAGTTGACGCTTCATCCTTGAGTAGAAATATAATTTAAATGTTAGATTAAATTACGATCTCTCTCTAGAAACATTACCATAAAATTCAAATTTGATTCAGGGACGAACAAAACCAGGTAATTTCTGACCTTTCTGAAATGAGAACCTTTTTCCGACTGCATTCTGAAATTATATTTTTCGAATATAGAATATAAACCACATTCATTCTAATTTGGGTCATGTTAAAGAACCATATATTGGATATGCCGTACAGCTGATTAGGATTTATTTTTCAGAAATTGAATGAAGGCTCTTGTTTTACTGTTGTACTCCTAATTATTCTCCACAGGATTAAATATGTGAATCCAAGAAGCGTAATCAGGTAAGCGATGGCAATCATGTTCCTAACGTCTAACGAGATGAGTCAACTCTTATATCATACTTTTGAGCATATTATTTCGAATATTCAGAACTGAGAAATTCATAATATTTTACTAGATTTAGTCTAAGCGTTGATATGAGAGCACAGCAGACAAAATTGTAGCATTTCTCATAACATGAACTCGGGAAATTGATAATTTTCAATAAATCAAAAAACTTAGCACTTCATGTTAAAGCACATACTTCGAATTCATCAAGTTTTTCATCTTTGTCACAATCCATCAGAACACAGTCATCATCCTTCAAATCCTCAATCATTTTCAGTCTCTCTTCAATAGCTTTGTGACGGGTTAGATAAAAATCATCGGTATGATAGTCCAAAGGATGGGTCTGTGAACAATGCACCTCATTTCTGAATGAAGCGGTTTTGCTCCCTAATCTAACAAAATTTATTTTTAAAGAATTTCAAAATCATCATATTGAAATTAAGACAAACAAAAGACAGATAAGTGAGTTTGTCAAATTATCTGTGGTGCTCGTTGGTGTGACGTTCACCGTTGATCCAGCGATTTTGGTTTAGGTGATTGTGTTTTATTTGCTTTGAAAAAAATAGCTGTTCTCCGCAAATTTGACGTCAAATTTGATATGCATGACTATTTCTTTATAAATCAAAAAAAATTTCATATTATAAAAATGGTTCAAAATCTTATATCATTATTAAGTTTCCTTTTAAGGAAAAGATTTCATGCATTTTCCACAAAAAACCATTCCAGTTAACTATGATAAAATAGGTAAATATCATCAGTGAAATTCATATAAATATAAACTAATTTTTTGATTAATATTGATCTAACCTGGTATGTTGTTCTGAATACATCTGAAATTCCAGGCATAAAAATAATGTCCCATAAAAATAAACAGAACAGAGTTGAAAACGTTCCGCCTTCTCCATGGATTCCGAAATCATACCCAAGATTCCTGAAAAAGACAAATTACTTTTTATACACCATGCCAATTTGTGGAATTTGGTGTAAACTTCTCCGACAACATAGCCTTGTTGCATAGAATAGGATTTACATATTCATTTTGATTGAGAGGAAAGTCGATAAGAAGCCTTAATCCTATGGCATTGTTTATATTCAGATGCATGTATGGAGGAGGATGGTGGAGGAAGCCGTAACCGACCAGTTGTTACATGATCCACCCTGCGCCGCCTAGAAGTCCAGCATTCTACTCGTACCCACAGAATTCGAACCTGCGAACCCATGAGTGGTGATCAGAGATTGAGAGGTACGATGGCGAGAGTGTTCCTAACGCTAAGCACATACGCCACACGGCCAAGCTTGGTCGATTGAATGAACCAGTTGAATATTAGTATATTATATTACCTGTAATGAGATAAAGCCAACTCTTCTACAGAGCATATGACAGTAGATTCAGTTGCTGTGTCATCTTCATGTTCTGTTCTCAGAAATCTTGATTTTCCAGTCTGAACTTCACCAGGTAATAAACGACCAGTAATCTCAACCTAAATATATTGACAGTTCTATGGCAGGGGTCACACTCTCTTTACATCTTCTTGGGGGTAACTGAGGGCATACTTACCTCTTGGGGGTGAGGTTGGCTGCCTGGGGGGTAAACATGATAAAAGCAAAACTAGATATTTTTATAGAGGTGACCGTCCATTTGAACCTACGTACATTTGAACCCATGTGTATATCTGCAGGTTCAATCTATATGCGGGTGCTGAATACCATGGGTTAGGGTTAGTATGGGTTGAAAAATCCGCAAAACAAAAAAAATTTCCATAGGTGCAATAGTATGCAGGTGCAATTGTCGTGGGTTCAAATGTACGTGGGTTCAAATATACGGGAACCAATGTTCCCTCTAATTTCTTGTAGTATGTGTGCGCAGAAATTTTGATATGTGCGCACTTTTTGGAAATGGCTAATATTTGTGCAAAAACCAATGAAGAGATTTTGGCATTCTAACCGGGTAATGGGTGGGCCAACAACAAACTTTCTCAACCTGCCAACCGAGAAAATTGTTACATTACATCGAAATACGTCTGTGCGCAGTAAATCTATGCGTGTGCGCAGCCTCTGAAAGCTGTGTGCGCGCGCACACGCGCACACCTTAGAGGGAACACTGACGGGAACCTTTTATAGAAAATCAGGGGATCACAAATGTTGAGAGTGTTTGAAAGGAGGCGAATAGAAAATGACAGTTTAGGAATTACTGTATAGACAAATGGCCAACAAAACCATTTCGTAAAAAATGATATGAATTAGAGGGTCAGAATAATTTTCTCATTCATTTTCTTATAATCTATAACTCCTCTATATATTTCAATATTGAAAAAGACAGAAAACAGAAATTCAGGTAAAAACACCAACCACAGGAGCTTCTTCTATCTGTAGTCTATCGATTATTGGCTTCAGTTTTGTTTTATAGGTTGTTGTTAATTGCGGTAACTTTTTCACAGCTTTTGACGTAAGAATCTTGTTTACTCTCTGCGCTAGAGCTAACTTGTGACCCACACGAACATCAGAATCTTGTAAAGACTCATGTATGACATCTAGTGAACGTACTGGATCTTTTAAATGTTGATCAATGTTAAGAGCAAGTCTCTCCCACCAATGGCCCCTGAGAACATGATAGGAAAAAATATGAATAATAAATTTATGTGCCGAAAAGGATCGGCTTTATTATTTGTGGATTGTGAATAGATTTTATTATGGTTACCGGTATATTCAAAATTGTAATTAGCAACAAAAACTTAAAAAGTTTTTGTTATCAATGTTTTATTTTCTAAGAGTTTACAGCTGGACTGGGTGCGAACATTTTCAAATTGTTCATAGTTTGAATACACTAATTTCAAACATCGTCAATCAGAGTCTTGATATGGGCACCACATTTCATTCAAATTTTGCTGTTTCCCTTATATTCACGAGAACACTTTTATATATGATCTTTAACCTTTGTGTGTATATATTGGAGCATTCCCTTTTTATTTATAATGTTAGGCATTCAATGACAATGGAACTGTGAACCTGCACAGTACATATATATATATTTAAACCCCGAAATTCTCATTCTTGTCACATATAAGAGAACATCGCTATGGTAAAAATGAGCGTTAACTCACATCGGCTCAGAAGATTGCATCTCAGGATTTAACTAACACTGGCATTCTTTCAATTGCTACGCATTTTCTAATCTATGTTGGGCGATTCAGAGGCGCTCCAGAAGAGTGTGTACCAATATGGAGGTAACTAATTTTGTTCGCCTATTTTACATCAAGTTGTGTAAAGGGACTGAAACCTATGGGCACGGAGATATTCACTTGGCAAACACAGACAGTCCCCAAACTCGTAATAGAAATAAAATCAGGAAAATCGGAATCAAATTATGGCCTAACCCTAACCTGGTACACACACTACGGGAGTACTTTATGTTGTTGGTCTCGCGTCTCGTGCAAAGTTTATTAAAATTTAATGTGCTGTGCTGATCCTACGACTAAGATATGCGAAGATAACATACCTTCTTGAAACGCAATACATTCTTTGGTCTAACAATTCTTCCAATATTTCTACTGCTTTTTTGTAATTCTTTAATCTCTGTAAAACCTCAACCTGAAAGTAAATTGATTCATGTAAAGTTGTTAAGTAATAAACATATCTTATGAATAATGAAAATAACAGACACCACAAAATTTATGTGTGAAGGCCTATATATAACATTTTGTTCATAAAATTTTCATACAGGTTTTCTTCATACAACTCATTTATATGCCTTTCAATTTGAAAAAGGCTCTGTGTAAGCACTGACACGTAGGCGGCTACTTTATTTTGGAAGGACAAAAATCGGCGCTCCAAAAGTGTGTGTACCAATATGGACGTACATAATTTTTTTCGCCTACTTTATATCAAGTTGTGGAAAGGGACGGAAGCCTATGGACAGGACTCATGTCGGTACTCCCGTAGTATGTGTACCAGGTTAGGATTAGGCCATAATTTTATTCCAATTTTACTCATTTTAGTTCTATTACGAGTTTGGGAACTGCCTGTGTTAGCCAAGTGAATATCTCTGTGCCCATAGGTTTCAGTCCCTTTACACTACTTGATGTAAAGTAGGACTTAGCTATGTTGGTATCGCACGCTAAAAATACCAGGTTTAAATCCTAAATTCCTTGCCCACTACCCCATCCAGGGGGTAATAAATTGGGTAGGTAATAAGTTACCTGGTACCTTCATATTGGTACACACACTTCTGGAGCGCCCACAAGTTGGTCATAAGAAACTGGATACTAGGTTTAAAACGACAAGTATCTTTCTTGCTTAACATCTTGTATGGGCAAAAATAGTATATTTGTATGGATTACCTAAATCAGCATTAATGAGGACTCATCTCACCTCCAATGACCTCAAACGTGTGTATGTCCATTGCGCAGTAAAACAACGTAAGAATTGAGGTAGATTTTCAGAATGTTTTAAAGATTCTTTATCATTTTCTTTGATGTTTATGTGAACAGAGTGAGCAGAGTCACATAATGCAGCAGCCCTCTGGAAAAAGACAATCAGAGCTTTTTCTTGTTTGTTTTATGGATTTTCTAAAAATAAAAATCTACAATTTATTTGAGTTGGATCCGGGGTTCCCAAACTAGGGTACATGTACCCCCAGAGGTATATTTTGACTTTCCAAGGGGTACGTACAGTATAAGAATCATTCAATACCCATTAGGGTACATTTTGACTTTCCAGGGGGTACATCAAATTGAGTATAACAAATAATTAATCTTTCCATGACTCCTAATCTGCCTTGAAATATTTTATCACCTGATATTAATTAATAGTCTGAAAACCTTAGTTTAGTATTTCTTTAGAAAGTCAAATTTTCACCTCAGTAGGAGCTTCAACTACAACTACAGTACTTAGCGAGTTATATTCGCAGTCCACATGACTTATTTAGTCCAATCACAGCACGCAAGCCAATTTTGTGGCTACATAAGCGATCTATGTAACAGCCCAAGCCAGCAATAATTGATTAAAAAATTGCCAATCAATGAGCGATTATCAGCATTTAAGAATCTAGTAAAATTTACACACGATTTCCGATTTCGAACTCTTGACTTCCGACCCTTATAGTTGGTAAAAATTCAAGTTCCAAACAACTCCAAGTTACAGAACAATATGACTTCGTGGCCAGCTTACAATTTTAATAACGAACACTTTGGCACTTTCTTTAATTGTCTGTTAAGAACGCTCAGTCCACTCATGTTTTTTGAGTTTGTGTCTAAAAATTTGAATTGCCATTAAATTTTTGGAATTCCATCTTCGAAAACAGAGAATTTAAAAATACTCCAATACCATTTAAAACACGCCTGGCTGTGACTTCACATCCTTGGTTGAACCACTGCAAACCCTGAATTTCACGAAATGAGTTCAACTGTCATTGTAAACCACCGATTATGTTTTAGCAAGAACCATTGGTACTGTATGTACCTTGGAATGCGCTACACATAACCTAGGTTCATTATTGTGTTTGCACTTTATATGAAAAAAACAATAACCGTGAGCTTATTATTAATTTCCCACAAGAGGAGGAGTATCTTTCATACAATATAATTCAATTGAAATAAAATCTAAAATACCTGCCAATTTCCCATCTCCACACAGCTTAAAATATCAGTTTGAAATTGAAATGCCGTCTCATAATGTAAAAGGTCTTTTCTCCTGCTGAATATCGGTGTAGGACGATCCACAACGCATGATGGGTATGACACCTTTCCCATTCCTGAAAAGACAATATTTCATGAATAGCATTGCTAATAATTATCAGAATGTTTATTGAGAAAAGCATCTTATTAGACATAAATGTCATATTGGTTGAAATGGTATCATTAATATACCTTTATTCATTAGTTTTGTAATGTCTGTGGTCCAAAATGTCTGTATTCTTTTTCAAAATATTAGTCATAATATATATTTAACAGAAAAATATTAACAAACCAATAAAAATTCGATGTCCATTAGTAAGAAAATGTTGACATAATAGGATAACTGGACAGGAAAGTCGAAAATTGGAAAAATGTTCCCACATGTCATATAAAAGTGTTACCATTGGGTAAAATAAAAGAATAAAATTTGGGATGAATAACAGGACCCATATGATTATAGGTACCATGGAGGAAATTTTGAAAAAAATAAAAGCAATACCTTTGAAAGAACCATCTTTAATTGAGTGTTAACATTTAACAATTTGTAATTGATTCGCCATTACTTTAGGAGAAAATCAATTTTTTCAAAACTTCTACAATTAAGCAAAACAACACATGTGTACGCTTCATGTCCAAGAAGTATTTCACGCATTCAAGCACACAGTCAAGATCTATTTCTAAGAATCAAGTAATCGTTACCTGCCATTAAAATAGCTGATAACTGCAAATGTCTTCCCTGCCCCGTAGCGTTTTGAGAACCAGTTAATGAGCATTCAGTTTCATCATCAATTCCACGTGTTACGTCAAATACCAGAAGTACCCTTGAAAGTAAGTAAATAACAATTATGAAATGCCAACCTAATGAACAAATATCAAAAATTGGCCTAGAATTTTATTTTAACAAATAGAAAGCAAAACAAACAAAGTTTTTCGGTGATTACATCGACCTATATTCATCAATGTTTAGGAATTATATGAAATTAAAGGCACAATGGCCGGCGCTCCAGAAGTATGTGTACCAATTTGGAAGTAACTAATTTTATTTGCCTATTATAAGTTGTGTAAAGGGACTGAAGCCTATGGGGCAGAGGGATATTCAAGAACTAAAATGAGGAAAAACGAAATAAACTTATAGCCTAACCCTAACCTGGTACACATACTTCGGGAGTACCCAATTGCCTAATGATTAAATTCTTGGACTTGCTATGTTGGCATCGCAAGCTAAAAATACCAGGTTTCAAACCGAAAAGATTTTGGACCCTTTGGTTCTGATGACTGGACAAGAGGCCATGTCATGCATGGCTCCCATATGATTGATTCATCTTTTTCTTTTATTTATAATATTCTTTCTAACATTCTTTTTTCTTCTGCCTATAGTCGAATTCATTGTGGAAAAATGGATGAGTGAAAGATAAATTTTGTATCTGCCCAGAATTCAATTTATTTCAGTGTTGAAATAAACAAGATAAAGGAATTTGGCATATCGGTAGTTATCTGCAGCAAATGGCAAAAAATGATCTAAGATAGTGGAGAAGGCCATAACTAACCATCGATCATATGAATCACGCTGTGTGGCACGGACTCAAAGGAGTCAAGCATTTTTTGTACATAATACTGTGTTTTATAAACAGGAGTTTACCTGTTAAACACAGTTCTTGGATATGAAGCAACTTTATAACAAGGTCCGAGCAATCTGCTAGCTCTTTTCATGACGTTGCTACCCAAGCCTGACTTTTTCTGGTGAGTCCCTTTCGCCTGAGGTTTTTTATTTTTAAAAAATCCACCAAGCACACTCTGCTGTTTTCTACACATTTCTTCAAGTTCATTTTGGATCTGAACTTTCTGTTTGCCATTGACCTGAAATTTGAAACACTAATATTTACACAAAATGAAATAAGAGGATAAATTATTGAGAATTTTCTTTGAATGAAATTTTTCCCAATTTTTATTTACATCATCAATTTGGAATAGTTCATGTAACGTTACAAACATTTCTTCGCAGTGAAAATTGATACCTTTTGACCACTGTTTCACAATTTTGAACATAACTCCGAAACAATATACCCAATTTTTTTTAGTGCCCAGGGGCCCTCAAAAGTTGTGGCCCTTTAATAAACAGTGACAAACGTCTCCACAGGAAACAAAACTGCACACCTAAATATACTCTTATGAGAATGATATGAGTGTATTACCATGTGTTGTCGAAAACTCATTTTTGTACGAACAAGCTTCTCAAGAACATTGAGTGTCGAAAAGTCCCATGACACAATAATGATGAAAATTCAAGTAATTTCACTTTAGTTTGCTATTCATTTATACCTCCAAACCTTTTCAAAACCAGATAGAAGGCAACTGTATATAACTGTATATATATGTTTAAAATACCTACATTTAATTTGAAAGATTTGGCAAGATCTTTGAGACTAGGTGCAGGTAGAAGCTTGAGAACATCAGACAAACTCAAATCATTGTTATTATTTTGATCAAACCACAATAAAAATCCATCGTCTGCCAATTTCTTCAATACTCGATGAATATTGCTTGATATATCAGGATAGTTAATCTGTATAGAATGAACAGTAAATATATTTCATTCAATTTAGAATAGTACAGAGGAAATGCTTCTAGATTAATTAGTCAATCATTAGATTATATATTGGTAATATTGTGGGATTACAGCCCATACTACTAACAAAAAAGTGCTAACAAAGATGGCCCTTTCGATCGATCATTTTGCTAAACTATTGTTGTTGCCAGTGTAGCTTTTCCAAACAACTGAAATTAGCAGCTTTGATATTTTAGTAGCCATGAATGAAAGCCTTTCCAGGAAAGTTATTAACTTTATACTTTTCTAAATTATCTCTAGTGAAAATTTGGTCATCATATGAAGGTTCCCATCTTCATTCGGTAAGCAAGTACCCAAATACATTCAAATCTAATTCTCTCATTTTTTTTACCTAATGCAAAACGAACTAAAGCTACAGCAGACCCGATATTTTTTTTTGTCTTCAAACAATATATAAAACGCACGGTGCTCCCGAAGTATGCGAACCAAGATGGCGGACATCGGAACGTAACATGGGTAACAAGTTAGGGTTAGGCGATAATTTTTTTCCAATTTTCCTTATTTTAGTCCTATTATCAGTTCGAAGACTAGCCAAGAGCCTCCCGTAGTATTTATAGCTAAAATTATGGCCTAACCCTAACCTAGTACACATATTACATTCAGATGTCCGCCATCTTGGTTCGCATACTTCAGGAGCCCCAAACGCACAGTAAAAGCATGAACATACATTGGATTGAATTACATTAAATTTGATGTTTAGATTCACAGTCTCAATAGGAGTGAACTATCTATCTACTATTAAAATATAGAATTATATTTCTTCATATTTATATTTTAGCATACGCACCTGCTCTAATCTAAGCCAAGCTACTTTACGATGATATAATCTGACATAAAGTTTCTGAGCTTGAAGAGGTAGTTTATTAAATTTATCAATCCATAACATGTCATCAGATCCTTCAAATATAGAGCGATCATCATCATTGCCTAAAACAGTGTCCAAAATTTGTCGAAAATTTAGAAGATAGTATGCTATTTTCTCTTCCTTATCTTCATTTAGGGAACATGAGTCTTCAACAGATGATGCATCACCCTCAGATATGTTCGCATTTGGCAGAAGTTTAGTGATTTTTGAATCATCTGTTATTGGCTTTGTGTCGGTCTTTAAAATACATAAATTTAAGTCAGAAATTTTTTCATCATCATGGTGTGGCGAAACTTCAGATATAGAATTTGCAATTTTATTTTTTTGAATGAATTCATGATTGACTATTTCTGGAACAATCTTTTGAGGGGATAGAGAATTATCATCGTTATTTCTGCCTTTTCTTTTAGAAATTGTGGCAACTGATTTTTTACTTTTTTCATTCAGTCTGACATCAATGTTTTCATCCGCACTGTCATCAGAGGAAATAATTATTAGTTCAGTGTTCAAAATTTTTGGCTTTTTGTTTGTGTTACTAAAGGTGTTTTTAGATTTGAGTTTTCTTTTATTATTATTCCCATTTGTATTTCCGACCCTTTTAGATAAAGTGTCTTCATTGGCAACGTCTTTACATTGTGATGAGAAGTAATTCAAAATTGATGACTTTGGATTTGTAGTGATAGTCTTTTTCTTCTTTCCAGACATTGCACCTAAAAACAAATAAATTCACAATAATAAAATCAATGTGTTAAAATGATGGCTAAAACTGAAAAATCGCAATTCCAAAAATATTTTGAAATATTGCATAATGTATATAGTCTCTCTTTGATTTGATAGAACTTTATAGTGCAGAAAAATTATGACTAACATGAGTTTGTTTAATTTCAGATTTTATTAAAGCTTATTCGAATACAAGCTGTCAAATGCCCAAAATGATAATTTTAATGTAAAACTATTTTGAACTACCGTATTCCTAAAAATCAAGAATTGATTATATAAACATGAGACAAAACTTAAAACGATGGCTTTAAAACTGTAGCTTGATATAAGCTAAAAGTTTCGATCAGATTGGGCAAAAAAGGTGATTGGTAATTTTGCAAAATCTATATTAAAAAGAATACAGTCGTAACAAATTAGTGCTTTACTTTTCTCCGGCTTTATCCAAGAAAAAGCTCTCTTGAAGTATTTTCCATTTTGTTCTCGATTGGATTGGTCTAGTATTTTATTTATTTTCAATAAGCAATGTGAATTGAAATAAAATACAAAGAGACATGCAGTCACATATAATATGCTCATAGGTGTGGTATAGAGAGCAATTCATCAGAATATAAACAAAATTTTGAGAAGCAATTGTAATTTATTGCGTAATGGGGGAAAGGTTCCTATGCTATTATGTCACGCTTCCATATAAGAATGTAATTTTGTCACAAACAGGTATTTCACCTCATTAAAAAAGCAGATAGTCAATACAACACAAAAATGCCAGAGTTTTATTATTTTATTAAGTTAGGGAATATTCTGCTCATCAGCTTTGAGGTAGCCTACATAACCACATTTGAGCACATAGTACAAAGTTAAACACCTGCTACATTTTTCAACCTCAAATATTGATCAGTGACAAAAACATGGATCCTCGTCTGCAATGATTATCAGCAGCAGATAAGATATTTATCAAAGATTAAAATGATTTTGGCCAAAATCATTGACTGAGCAAAAATAATTAAACTTGGGAAGTATTCTAGCATGGTTCAAAACAATCATATTGATTCTGATTATGCGTCTTAACAGAAATACCAGAAAATAAAACCATGGCCAATACCAATATTTTGGACACTTGTCTCATCATATTGAAAAGAGGAATTTTTAAAGAACATTATTTTAATATTGCTATAAAGGATAACAAATCCCTTGTCAAAATATTTTGATTTTAATATCTGTGTAGGATATTTTGATCGAAAAACTGGCTTTATAGCATGTTTTTGCCACATAAATGAATTTTTTGAAATAATCAAAATAGAAATGTGTTTCAGATATAGACATACTAATATCAGTGATACAGTTGTTGGGTTATTTTTTATCAACCAATCATCTTCACAAAGTTTAATGAAAAAAAAAAATCACCATATAAAAATCGATTTGAAAAATTAGATATGTTTGAGGAATACTTAACAGTTACTCATTGGTTAAATTTTAGTATATTTTCAATCAGTATTTATCACATCTTAAATTATGGAATAAAATTCCCATGGTATAAAGCTGCACAGGTAGCATTTTCATACAAAACATTATTAGAAAGCTCAAGCAACAAAATTAAATTTTTAAGATTGTGACTGTAAATCAAATACCACAATGCATATTGATAGATATTTAAATGATATGGATGAAATAAGAAATTAAATGCATTTTTCGTCATTGTGTTATGTTAAATGTTAAGAATAGATTTATAAGGTGTTTCAAAAATTTCAACAGATTATTTCAGAGCATATAGATAAGTTGAATTTCGAAAATCGTTGGAAATTATGTCATTCGATAGACAGAAAGTTATTTTTAAAGGTTGACCAAATGTAGATACGAATTTATTTTCATTGGAAAGATAAAATTTCAATCAATTCTATAATAAAACATTGTCTGAATTTTCTACACAAAAGCCCACTTAGAGTATCCAGAATTATGCAAAATAAATATAAAACGTATGGTGAATCGAAAGATGTCTTACAAAATAGCCAGTATTTTTTTCGAGTCGTCAAAAGCAACCTTAGTCCATTTATTCTGTGTCAATGGTAAAATTTACCAAATAGCCTATATAAATAAACTATCATTATAAAGGCATCGAAATGATATCAAATACATATCAACATTGCAAAAAATCATTTTAAACATCGTTCGAAATATGTGCTCCCGACATAACCGCCCCTCATTGATTTGTATACATTCTGTTCAAATGCACGTCTGTTTTTTGTTAGCATCTCCGCTGCTTCTTTGTTTAAAGGGTCATCAGGGTTGGGCTCAAGAAAAAGATATTGAAGCCCATAAATGACAGAGTTAATGGTAAGAACAGGTTTCCAATCTTCTCTGAGAATATTCAAACAAACATTTCCTTCAAGGTCAATGTTAGGATGGTAAACCATGGTTTCACATTTTACTTTTGGGGCATCATGAGGGTAACCTTGCCCAACTTTAAATGTAAAAGTGAATTTACCATTTTTGTAAAACCCCTCATCAGGGGCAATGATAAGCTTGAAATTCAGTAAATCATTGGGATCAGGGAAAATAGTACTACATGTAGGTGGTAACTGCAGTTCATTTAAATCTTTAGTAATTCGAAGTTGAGCCGCTGAAGCTTTTCTTCTACCAGATGAAGCCCCCGATGCTTCGTCATTTTTCTTTTGCTGTTTTAGTGAAAATAATTTTATCATTTTCTTCGTGTTTTTCTGTTCTGATCAAAAATTTCCAACTGCACAGTCTACACCCATACACGCTCTCAATTCTCTTCCCACAAATGTTATTGGTTCATATCTCACTGATTTTCTTCCGGCTTCAAATTATGGCCCCAAAACTGTCTGAGACAAATCTTGACCAAAGACAACACCCAGGCTAAAATGGTCAATCTCGACAAAGCGATCGTAGGGAATAAACAAAGAAGTAACTTCTCCTTTCAGATAGTGGTGTGTATATATATCGAAATGATTGAGAATGGCATATGACGTTATGACAACTTCGGGTAACTAGAAAAAACACTACCAAAAATTTATTACGAATTTAGTACGGTATTCAGTAATATAAAATATAGATATTTTAACAACAACAAACAACTTAAACTTTAGTTACACTAAACAAGACTCTATGCACCACTAGGGTTGGGATTTCGGAGCCAGTTCTTGAAATCACGGTATCGGGATATCCCGGGATTGAGCCGTATAATCCCGGGATTTTCCGGAATGAAGTAAAAAATTCAAACAACTTGCATGACAATAAAATCACGTATTTATCTCATGTAATATCGACGGAGAAATATTAGAGCATCTAGGGCAGTGGTTTCCAACCTTTTTTATATCGCGGCACACCATTTAGCTATTTGAATATTTGCGGCACACCTATCACAAAATACGAACATTTTCTACTCATAAAAAGTGTCATAGTCCAACTCGAACAAATGGTTTCTAGTTACCGATATTACAACTATTTTCTTACATTAAGGTAAACGAGAGCGTCTTCGGAGCACCTCACATTATTTTAAAAGTTGCGCGGCCGCACGGGTAATACGTGGTCTCCAAACGCACCGCCGATCACGCGCTTCGGTTTTGCTCGCCGTTCCACCTTACGCCATTATTATTATCGCATGTATTCTCACTTTTTCACAACCTAATTCATTTTTGTTACAATTAAATATGATTCTCCTATTGCCAAAATCATTCAATAATGTTATTGTCGGCACTTGCGAGAGAAATGAAAGAGACAAACAAACTGTATTTCATTACAACAATAAATTATTATCGCAAAAACACTAAAGGTTTAAAGTTGTTATAAACAATTTTCACCGCTGGACGTATCTTCTCACGTTATGAATTTCGTGTATTATGCCCGAGCATAATTTGATGGCAAAGATCACAGCATTTACTACGTCGAAACGCTCATTCAACTTTTCAAGCCGCAGAAACTATCCGAAAAAGATAACCGTTTTTAGAATAGGATAGGATGGATTTACATATTTATCCCAGAGGAGAGGAATGCCGATAAAACGGCTTAATCATATGGCGAACCACGGCCTCTCGTCCGGCAACCAGTCCAGGTCGGGTATGATATTAGTTAGCCAGTTAAATTGTTTTCGGAAGCATGGATTTGGTGTAATGGTGGAGGAAGCCCTAACTGGCCAGCGGTTACGTGAACGTTTGTGTTCGAGATATGAAATAATCGTCTATTCTACCACGCTTTCGTGAAGTAGTGCAATTTACTGAATTTATGAAGGTTTTATTAGGTTTCATTGCATCAGTGTTTGGACTACCACGCGTTTCGCCAGATTACTGGCGTGATCACAGATCGCAAGATGGGCAAAATAGTATATTTTCAACGAATCGAATAATTTTAACGAATTGTCGAATATCGGGTTGAATTCGGGATTTTATTCCGATTTTTATCTTTTGGGTCGGCACCGTTTGTAAATTAACTGTCCCAATTTTAGGTTGAAATATTATCATTTCTGACGCCGGAATGCCGATATTCATGAAGACGACAGTTGACCTTCTTCATTTTACTTTGCTATTGTGGTTGTTTTATTTTCGTATTAAATAGTGAAAAAAAAACTGCAAAGTCTTTGCGTGAATTCTGAATGCTATTTTAAGTTCAAATGATGATAAAGTAATGACAATTCTACTAGTCAAATAATAATTCTTTGGTAAACTTTGAGAAAAATTTCGTACAGTAATTCCAATTAGTCTGACTGACTCAAACTGTAAGCGTGGATGGCTTTATTTCAAAATAAGTATTAAATAAAATGGTATAAATTACCATTTGTGAGAATAAATATATGTGGGTAACAAAGCCTTAAAATCCCGGGATTTTTAAAAAATAATTGCGGGATCCGGATTAGAAGAAAAACCAAATACCGGGATTTCCCGGGGTCCCATCCCTATATGCACCACCAGATGCATGTCTCTGCATCTCAATCAGTTGTCAGTAGTTTATTTTATTACATGCCGAAAGTAGACAATGGGCAAACCTATTTAAGAGAAAAAAAAATGTTTTAGTGCGAGGGGAGACGCGATAAACCAGTGATGGGTATCGGGCAGCATCAGCGTATCGAGTGAGTCTAACATCAAATAATACTGAGAAAAAGTCAAACATAAAATACCAACAAACATCTGGAAAAAATAAATAGCTAATTACCCGACATGGACTGGTAACCGGACGAAAGGCCGTTGTACGTCATATGATTGAGCAGTATAAACACTTTCCTCTTCCTCGGGATATATATGTAAATCCTATCCTATGCCCAACACTATGAGAATAATTATGTTCAGGAGAATCCCTGGACTCTTCGCCGTTGTATGGTGCTACGTAACCACTTGCCGGGTACAGCTTACCACACAATCCAGTCCATAGATTTTAAACCTGGAACTAATATTCAGTAAATATTTCCATCCCCGATATGGGCTGGGACCGGTGACATACGAGAAATCTTGGTTCGTCATATGATTAAGTCATCTTATCGACGACTCTTTCCTAATGATAAAAGTGAAACTCGTATCTTGTTCCATCACCGTTGAGGCTAATTATGTTGAGGGGGATTGCTCATTGCTGGACTTCTAACCGTCGAAAGTGGGTGCACACGGTTAGTTACGGCTTCTGTAGGATTCAAATCATGCAGCTGAAACAAATACCCAACATGAAATGAGAACTGGTCGAGAGGCCCAAGTTAGATCGAATTTTGTTGGTGGTTCGAGTTCGAGTACAGAAATTTGTCATAAGGTTCTTCAACATTTAAAAGAATCAAAGTTGAAAAAAAATGGTTGACTTGTTTAAAAAAATTTTCTCGAAAAATATTCTTGAATTAAATGGTTTGTTTGGAGATCCACCTCAGGATTAAAAAATCTTTGTATTTTCTACGAGCGAGATCAACACCCTTCTATTGAAAATATTTGAATTCAAGAATATTTCCCCACTACAAGGATACTAACCTAATTCACTTTACTATATGAAAAATATAAAGATAAGGTGCCTTTCCAGAATGGCATGACGTTTAACTGCAGCCTTGAGTTTTTTAATTATTTTAAAATTCAATCTATTATCTAATATACTTGTGCGTACGTACGTATGTTGCCTATAACTAAAATTTCATATTTCGCGCAATTTGAAAAAAATTTCATGGTGCCATAGCACATTTATGTGACTTGAACGTATACATGTTGATTGACGCTTCGTGCAACCATGCGCTTTCGAAAGAAGTCCATTTACTGAGGTATCTTATTTTCACAACAGTTTGTTAAGAAAATACCTGTTTTGTTTCGATCTATCAAAAAAACTCATTTTAAACGAAGTTTTTTGTTTATGGCATAGTTGTACAAACCACCAATATCTGCAGAATTTGTCGCGATGAAAAGATTTCTATCGGAAATTATCATGGCTTGAAAAAAAGAACACAACAAATTACAGCTCTGAAACTTCATTGGCATGGAGGGTATGACTGAAGTCACCATCACGCGATTATGAGTTGAAGTTAACACTGTAGACCTCTGTACAAAGACCAGCAAACCAACGCAAAATAAGGCCAAACATCGAGTCTCTCGGCGCTACAAAACGGTGCCAAATATCCAAAACAAGTATACGAATATGTTTCATGTCTCGTTTGCTGTGAGATTCAAGGGTAATTTCAAAAAATATATTCAGATTTACTTTGTTAATTTTTGTATAACAATTTTGTATATAATTTGTTAGCTTGCAGCCCGCGTCGTCAGTAAATTCCAACAAGTGGCCCGCGACATATTTTGAGTTAGAGACCCCTGGTGTATTTCAATATAGGAACATTTGGCATTCAATACATTGTGTGCTCATTTACTTTTAAGGATTTCAGAATGGAGTTACACTCTATTAAACGTGTGTTAAATAACACGCAAGTGAACGCGCAGATAGGGTCATTCTCTCCCTATAACACCATGCCAAACAAATATGCCTTGCATTATTGCACTTTTACTTATAATCTGTAACAAGTAGCAGCTTTTGCGATTTATAATTGACTTAGTAAACAACTTTCAGAACAGTCTGCAACATTGAGCTAACACTCTCTGTTGACCTACACCCAGATGCAGCGTCGACTTTGATATTCTTTGAGCGCTTGAACTTAAGCGTTATCGTGGGCTCAAGTTAGCACCATTGTTACATAGAACCTGCAATTTCCACTTTGCATGTTTTTGCAGTCACGCGCTAAAAAGCAGAAACAGCAAATTCACTGCGCAGTCAAACAAAAACTCCTGACACAACAGTCATGTAACCTATTATTGCAAAAAAAAAAACTTCTGACAGGTTTTGCCACATTGACATCTTCCTTCCACTAATAAGGAAATTGAAACTTTAATTAAACAATAATGTAAAGCTGCTTTGCATGCGTCGAGAATGTATAATTCTCCTGTCGGAGAGTTTAACTATTTCGACTATAAGGAGATCGTTAGCATAATATAAATTTAAAGCGCCCATCGTTGTCATCCTATTTTTGAGTCCATTCGTTTTTTTAGTGTGTGTGTGTGTGTGTTTGGGGGGGGGGGGCAGTACGGGCCTACTTCTTCAAATTTCGAACTCACGTCTAGAAAGTGAGCCCGCGTAAAGTTACGTCGTGACGTGAGCTATTTTTGCTAATATTATTTTAGAAAACATCATATTTTTAAACTAATATTATTTCTTCCATTTTGAAAGTTATCTGTAGGAGTTAACCATCCAAAGCATTCTGACGTAATAGGTACATAATAGTCTAATGAAACAAGTAGGTTTGAGAACCTCTCGAACGGCACGTGCGCATGTCGTCAAACATTTCGAACGTCCAATACAGGAGTAATTCAACACTCATCGCCTCGTTTAATATAACGATACACTCCAAATCGGACACGGTCCTTCGATATTATATTCAGCCCATCGCGGTAGACCGCCGCTGATTATTTATTTTGCGTCCGACATGTTATGATTGGAGGTATCGTGTGTACCATACGACTGAATGGCATCGTTTTTATACACTGATTTATATTACCGAATTACGTTTTCTTAATTGGTTGTGGGAGACTATACTTTCCTATTAGAGGACATACTAGAAGTATCCATCAGTTTGATTGAAGATTATGTGTTATTTGACGACGCAAGATTTCAGAGTCATTATAATGTTTCCTTGTTCAATATACGGGCCCAGCGTCCTAAGGCTTAACATTCTGCGTGACTGAAGAAATGGCAAACTCGAACAATTTTATATTCAGACCACCTATGAACATTGACTTTCTGTCAGATGTAACCGTGAAATTTTTAAAACCTTTAAAACACTAATTGCGCAAACTAAATCGATAATACGATCCGACCAGAATTAATCACGCATTCAACTCTGCATCGAGCAGAACATCGGAGGAAAAACATTTTAGTCTTTCATCAATGGCGCCGATTAATCGATTTGTCCCATTGAATGCTCGAAACAGTCCTTAAAACAAGTTCACCGAAACATGGCTGGTCGATTGGTCTGGTAATGGAGTGTACTTTTACACTAAAAGCGCATATTATTACGCGATTTACTTAATTGCTCTGCGCTTGAATGATGGATAAATCAATTCGCACTCGTCGCAGACACAATAAATGCGATTCCTCGCACGCTTGTTGGTGTTTATTTATATAAAATATTAGTCCCTGGGTAGTAAATTAGGAGCTGAAAGGTACATTTGGCCGGCATAGTACGGAAATTGCTAGCCAAGTCATCGGACAAGCGAAAAATGTTACGCTCCCTACCGAATTCGTATGGATCATTTGTTTTGGTCCCGGCATAATTCGAGGTAGTAATTTAACCTTTCAAGTATCTAACACGTTTTGCGGGGCTGCTTTTGGTCGAATTAATTCCAAGTAGCAAAACGCTTTACCTTACGTGACATTTTTTCTACTTTTGAATACTTGGTAAGATATTCTATTCCCGGGCTAATGGTGTCCGAATAGATTGTTTGTATTCCCACTTCTTCCGTGCCTATGTCGTCACCAGCCATGTATGATCACAATGCGCACAAGCTTAAATCCCGTTAGAATAATTTTTCACATATACTCATGCATCACCATAATGTTGCCAAGCTTGAGGCCCAATTAAAGAATATGTCGTTGTGTCTTTCACTTATATTCATGTACTAACGCGATGCACCCAAAATTGAAGCCCGGTTGAAAGAGGTTGAGTAGCGCTTTTGACTTATATTCAAATGTGATCTGAAACGTTCACGTCCGATTAACGAATATCTATTTCATGTCACAAAGCGAACTCCATTCGAATTTCCGTCCCGTGTGTTGTCATTTTCATCATTGCCTTATCTTTAATCGACAAAAAGGTAAGTCTCGACATACGTCATTATGCTATTTCGTTCCGCAAGTTCATTTGTTATGCATAGCATGCATTGTGGTGAGTCACCTTGGGAATATCTCTTGTTGGTTTTGAATTCTTGGCAAATGATTAAGAACAGACAATTGAATCAGCGGGGTTTTCCGCGCAAGACATTCAGGATCTCGTCTTTAATTAAATCGGGATCAAAACGGTGACGCTCAGCGTTGGGAGCGGACTAACATTCGCGGAAGTTACTCACACGACAAACGATTAATAATGTTGATGCTCGTTAATTATAATCAATTTAAGCTCGGACGATACTTGCAGCAGATTGGCGAAAGACTTCTAATTAGAAATTGAAAGCGTTTATCGTCCCTTCGTAGGTAGTTCCCAGGTGGCATTGCTGGTGCCCCCTGAAATTTTATGGTTGCATCAACCTTAAACGGTGGCTCGCAATTCCACACATTTTTATGCCTGCGATGGCATAAGGCTATATTCGTTTTCATTGGTATTATATATAATCTCAGAATACAAAATACGATAAAACGTTTAATTCGACATAAAGTCATTTTACATAACAAATGAATATTTCCCTGGAAAAACTCAGAACTCCTTCATTAACCCATTTATTAAAATTCACAAAACCGTGTCCTTGGTTTAGTTTAAATGCATCTAACATGACAGTTCGTGAGTAAAAAAAATTCAAAACCTCCATAACATAAATATTAGTATTACTAGTTTCAATCATACATGGCCATGCTAGACGGCCTGTGGCACTTTTCCTCTCGTTATTTGACTTGCATGTTTCGTCAATTAGGTACAAGGTATATTATTTTACATATTTCGATTTATCAACACTTAAGCTTGGACGCCACATGCAAACATATAATATACAGTCTCGTGGTTAGCAGACGGAAATTTAATATATTTTAAAATAGAATGGACGCATATTATTAAAGGGAGAATATGATTATGATAATATTTTCGTTTATTTAAAATGTCTAGTTGAGTCCGATAAAATTCATCAGAAAAAGTATAATAAGGGGCTGTGTGATAGTTGAGAAAATAAATTCAATAAACATTTACCGTGACACCAAATTACTTTTCAAAACTTTGATTTGTATGATTGTAATAATGTAAATGAGGCAGCAAGGTTCAATAAAAAAATATATAAAAACTCAAAAACATTTGGCATATGATAATTTGATAAGAATTCTAATAAGAGTGGAATCATCCCACACTCAGAGGAAATACATATCAAAAAAATAAATATTAGATGCGACAAAGGGCAATAACAACTCCGTTTTAACTACGTTAAGTACTGGCCGTTTATTACTTGCATTTCAGTTAAGAAAAACGAAGCTGTAAAAAAAGTGATATTTGCATTTTTTCAACAATAAGCCACAAAAATTTTGGCTAGAATAATGGAATCTTATGACCTTATCAAACTCTCAAGTGTAATATAGAAAATTGTTTTTGCTTGTGGGAAACGCTTGTCTGCTCCAAGTAACAGGCTAAAAGAGAGGTAAATTACATTTTCACAATATGATTCAACACATACAAATCAATTATGATCTATGTCTTACTGAATCCAAATATCTTTCATTAAGCAATTTTCAGAGCCAGCCAAGTTTCACAATAATTTAAATTTTTGGATGTTTACATGTTTTCAGATGTGACATCCGATGCCTGAAATATCTGAAAATAGCATGAGACAGACGCATGACAGAATTAAATTAACATGGTATCCCGGAATGTTATTCCGAGGGGAGGGTTGTTTTACAAAATATAGTGTGACAAATATTTTGACTCGAAATAGAAGCTTCATAACTGCAACATTGAGTCACGAGTAGATTTATTTAATTGAAAGTGTTTCTAGGAAAGAGAAAATTGATAATATATTTTTGAGTTACAACCAAAAAATTGACCTACGTCTTTCATCGAGATTGTTTTTATATAAATTTGCTTCGCAATAAATGAGTATACAATTTAAAAATTCAGAGTATAGCCATATCATGTTGTACATATTTGTATTGAATGGCATTTTTTCAATAAAATTTCAACATTTTAAAGAATTACATACATCAGTGAAAAATATTTATTGAGATAATGGTTGAAAAATAATTTGGAATATTGATTGAAATATTAATGATACTATCTTACCTGAGTACAAATATATTACATAAAAAATCAATTTGAAAAGAATTCAGCTTATCAGTAACACAGGACTTATTCCCAGTAATATGAGAAGATACCATAGTAACAGTCAATATTCAAGATCATGAAAACTTTTTATCACTCATTCTCATGAAAAGCATCACAGTTTGGTGCCGATCTGTGTTTTTGTCCAACTTCAATTTTGAAGGACCGCTAGTGTTCGTAAAATTGCAGTAATACAAAATAAATTAAATATACAAACCACAGACTTGATAGCATGTGTTGGTGAAGAATACAGGGTTTGTAAAGAATAAAATGACTCAATTACTTGAAGATATTTTAATGAGTGATATTTCAATAACATCAGATGCATTATCTAAGCATGTTACACATTAACAGGATAATGCTTACTAATTAAACATTCAATACATACCGTTGAAAACATGAATTTAAGTTTACCAAACTGATATATCATTTTAGGGGTTTTCAGCATTGTACAACTGTTTAAAAAAATATGTAACGAAAGTATTATTTTCAGAGTGAATTTTAGTCAGATATATGTTGTAGCATTAATAATACCAAGCTATATATAGCTTTTTAGCTATAAAAATTCAATTTGCGGCATTCATGCTCAAAACCAAATTCATAAAATTTGGATTTCTACAAGGGTAAAAGATAAAAAAAATTTTCATGGACTTCAAATTGCACTTTTTGCATAAGACAAAAATAATGGAGTTAAAAAATTCAGCAAAAAATAAGCAAAATCATTTAAGTTTATCCAGTTTAACACAAGGTATAGAATGAATGGTTGTGTTGGTACTTTTCGCAGTTCTAACACAAAAGGAGAAATTTTCAAATCCTGTACATGCAGCACCAACTTCACCTTTTATGTTTACACCAATAAGAGCGCCCTCAAAAGTCGAATATCTTTTTAAAATTCGGTTGAGGGCGTCCCTAGCAGCCTCCTCTGGTGACATACCCTGCCTCATATTTTCTACTAGTTGATATGTCGGTAAAAGTCTCATCATTACATCACCATCTCCCGTTGCCACGGCAGCACCGACATCATCATCGGTATAAGCTCCAGCCCCAGGAATTGGCGAATCTCCTACTCTGCCAGGAATTTTATGATTTAATCCGTTTGTTGAAGTACCGGCAGCAGTTTTACCATTATTATCAATTGCAATCATGCCGATTGTGTCATGATTGTCAGGCCTGATGTTACCAGTTTTATTTTTACTATTTGATTGGAGACTTGCTGGATGGTAGGGTCCACATGATGTGCTTGGGTCTGGAATACAATTAATATGATAATTTGGTTGACATTGTTTACTCTTCCAGTTTTCCCACATACTTGTGGAATGGTTGGTTGCAAGACTTTCTTCTTTAAATCCATTTTGCACGGCAAACTCTGTTGCAAGCTCACCCACTAACATACTGTGTTCAGTGTTATCAAGAACGAGGCGAGCAACTCCAATGGCATTTTTGACTCGTCGAAGAGCACCGACAGCACCCATATTTAATGTTGTTCCATCCATAATCAAAGCATCAAGTGTTGTTTCACCGTTTTCATCCGGTGAGCCTCCGAAACCCACTGTGCCATCACATTGATCTTCTTCACATCTTGTGCAGCCTGCTTGAATTGCGTCAAGTACTGCTGTGTTTGGATCAGACGATGATATTAAAGCTTTCCACCCAGCGTCAGTTGCTTGTGGCCATGGCCATGTGTTGGCAACAATAGGCAAAGTAGCACTGGCACCAGAAATCACAGTGATTCCAAATACCAGTGACTGGAGAACTGCCCCATTTGACATTATTACAGACTAGTCTAAAGCTAAAAAGTGCAGAGACAATAGCAGTTTTCACCATGTGAAATTATATCAATTATCAAATTGGCAAAAACGACACAATAATAAAGGTCAAAGGTCGAAATCACACACAAAAGTGTTTACATTCAGTAGAGCAAAATACAAAGCCAGCTGAGCAGATAAATATTGAAAGCAATACAAAGAAAATGTGAATGTCTGGATTTTAAATGTCTATCAAATTTATATTGAACTGAGCATGTTTCTATAAAAGCAATTTAATATATTAAACCAGAGATGGGCCAAGAACACGAGAACAAAAAGACAATTACAATCCAGTATTTGACATCCAAGCAAGAAAAGAAATATGTTCAAAATGGTAGTAAAGGTATGTAAGTAATAACTGTGGTAAACATACGCCTGTTTGCTAACCAATAACCTTGTTTTATATAACTGGTTATTGGCATTCGTGACTTCAGGGCATACTGTCTACTGTTTACCAAGCCTACAAACAACCTTGAGGGCTATTTCGTCATTCCCATAGTTTTCAATGAAACATGATTAATTACATTATGTAGTTGGAAGGCTTTCTAACGATGACAAGGTAGTATTATGAATATTTTAAGAGCATATGGAATCTATCTCACAGCATCGAAGCACTTAAAATATCTCACAATATCCCGCATAAAATTAAAATTAGCAGTGTTGTAAGACTAATACAACGCGTGGTATACTAGAACGCAGTTCATTTTGTTCTGTTATATATCAGCCAAAGACTTTTGAATACAACAATAAACAATATAATCAGCCCAAATGGTGAAGCTATGAACAGCAAATAAGCCCTTACAATTGAATATGACAGCGGAAAACTCTAGGCAAATTAAAATAGCAAAGTGTAGATAACACAAAAAGGATAGTTGGGCTATTCAGCGATTCCGATAAAGTTCTTAAAATAATATATCAAAGTAATTCAATACTATTTTAAAAGAACTATTTATATGAAATAAGGTAAATACACAATGATTAGCAAGTCAGCAAAATCTGGTAGTTTGTATGATTAATGTGTCATGACCTTCATACCTAACCTAGTTTATCACATATCATGATGACAAGCATTCTTGAGTAAATATTAATTCATGATCTTGTAAGTCGTAAAATGTGATCAAGGTATTAATAAATTTCATCCAATAACTCTAGATGAAATGGATACAATATTTTAGCTCAATTGAAGGGAAAAATTATTTTTTTAATTAATAATATGACTAAAAATAAACTAAAAAAAAAATGGGTAAGAAAAATTGATATTCATGGGTTTCTTATTTGTATTATTTGCTACATAATATTTGTAACTTATTGATAGCCAGCATACTAATATAACAGAATCCATTTTTATTATACCAGTTTAGCTCATTTCTAAATTCGTACTGAAAATGCCCAAAAGTTTCCATTCCATCGAGGGAAAAAATATAAACAAAAATAATTATTACTATTTATTAAGCAAGAAAATGCAAGATATGGCTTTTTACGGAATATTTTGTTCAAGAGAAACACTACTAATATGAAAATGTATACCGTAATACTTATGCTGTTCCATAAGTTGTTTATGAATATTTAATAATTGTTCGAAAGCAAAAACACAATTCTTGTTAACAATATTATATTGTGAAACCAGTTGTAAAATATCAAATAGAAAATAAATCACTAAGAATTAAATTACAGAAATAGCTTGAATCAAAATTGATATACCACAATGCACCAAATAACAGTTTGAATAATTAATAGTAAAAACGCAATGAGAGATATGAAATCAGATATTTTCAGTGGACCAGTTATCTAGCGCAAAATCAAACGTTTCATAAATAGCATTTAAATGAAGACATGAGAAAATTATGAGTTGGGTTTCAATGAAGAAAAATATTTGTTAACTTAAATGAAAAAACTTTCATATTGTTATGCTGTATTTCATGGTGCTACGATTATTTGTGATTGAAAAGTCTGACAAGAAGGCCGCAATATTTATTTATGTTAACCGCATTTTATTTCAGATGGAACAAAAAATAAACAAAACAAAGCATCCTAACTTGGTTCGGCTACATTGGGCACAATTCTTTGAGAGTTTTTATTTGAAGTAGTCAACGTAAATCATCCATAATAATCTATGGGTTTTACATTTCATTAATATATGAAAATGGAAATTTTAATACTTTTGTGAACTGTCATCAAGCTCTAAGTAAATATTATGATACGAAATATCATTCAAATATAATGAACATTAACGATAGCTAAATACAGACGTTTCACTTGATTAACTAAAAGCCAGACTGTGGTGAATTATTAAAAAATGGGCTCAGTAGAATAATAATAGTATAAAGATCAAAAAAGGCCAGGAAAAAACTTTACGCTAACATTTCGGAGATCCGAACACATTTGAAAAAAATTCATTTTGGCGCAGACCAAATGACATCAGTACGAATTTTAATCCAAGCAGAAGAGCCATGTCACGTAAGCAGAGATCAAATTTAAAATTTGTTTTTAATTATAGCCTGTGAACGTTGTAATTAGACGTCTACTTTTCATGCCACTTTCTCCAATAGAACCACATAGAGATGAATAAGACATAGATGAGCAGATTTACAAGATGTTCTGAACATAAATTCAAATCGTAGAACAAAAATAGAAAACTAGATAAGTATAATAAAGCCTGCCCAAAGGTTTTTAATTTATTGGCATTCAATTTTCATATTTATTGTGCAAAGACTGGGACTCTTCAATGAAATGATAGCAAGCCCGCTTAGACCGTTGGACAAGCAAAGACTCGCTAAAACAAATAAAATTCTTGTGTCCACCTTTGGGTGTGGTTCGATATAAAATCTTCAGGCAAGACTTAAGAGTAATACATCACCAAACTATTGGCCTTCAGGCAAAATATACAAACATAACATTCTGTTCGGTTTCAGTATTTCTCAATCTTGCGAAACTAAATGTTTGTGAGAAGATGTTCATCAATGACACAATGACCTCTAAAATTGAAAGAAACTGACATAATTACTATCTATGTACAATAATAAATGGCAGGAATGCACTACATGAGCAATTACCCATCGACATATTCAAACAAAGCAAATGTACTATACAATACAACATGGCACAGTAAAATAATAATTACAAGGAATTAATTAATAATTATTACATAATTAAAAAAAGCGAAATGTAAAATCATGGCAGGCAAATGAGAAATTTTAAATTGAAATACAGAATAGAGCTCTCATGCAAGCCTATTATCTTCAAAACCGCATTAAACAATCGCTCACAATAAGGTGATCATAATTTTATCGTTCGATCATAATATTTATCAACTTTATCATATTTTATTTCTTGAAAAACCATGAAAATGACATAAGGATTGGCTCACGTATTGTGAATTTGTTCAAGCTTACTTATTCTTATCAAGTGCTGTTGACTCCGTCTCACCCAAAATAGCATAGCAAGGAGAAACCACTAAGTGGAGCTTTCGATAGGAGGCTGAAAGCATAGAAATTAAATTAACCAGGCAAGCATACTGCTTTCAAGCACACTCAAATTCACTAAAACTGAATTAGTGGCTTTGAAGGAAAAGTAAAGCCATAAAGCACAGTATCACTCAATCGAGTACAAAATGTTTTTTCTTTAACATTTTCTTACCAGTTGAATATCTGTATATGCGTATGATCAAACATCCAACTTTATATGGAATTAAATTGAATGAACACAAAGGCATAATATAGAGAGGGAATCACAAAAAATACAAAAGCAAAAAATTTACTGTAATCTCACAGTAATAGAAACTGGCGACCTAAAGCTGCTTGCTTTGGGTGTGTGGAAGGCATGAAGCTAGCTTGCCCGTATCTGGACAAGTACAAAAACATGCATGATTCTAACAGCATTCTTGATATATTTTTTCAATGTACCGCCCATTCGTAACATGGCAAAATCTATTATATAAAAAGCACCATCTCATAATATACCGGAGATACAATAAAATAAAAATCAATAGAGATTAAGTATAAAAATATTGATCAAAAGATTTGTACAAAACTTGTTCTTATTTATTTCGTTGATTAAGTTATAGAAGTAAACAAGCGCTGGAATAGTTTTACGGGGTTAATATACAAGAATAGTGACAAACAGGGCTATATCTCACAGATATGAAAGCCAAAATATGTGTGAAAAATTAGCTGTTTTTACTTATAAAACATGTGTCACTGGATTTCCATATCCCATAAAGTGCAGCAAGTTAACTTTGAATGTGGTTGAATATTCCAAAACATAAGATTCAAATAAATGCTAATCATCAAGTGACACACACTGAAGATTAAGGGCCATTAAAAATCTTATAACCCCATTTGAATGACTCAGTCGAATGGACATATATGCTGACAAGTTGACTGATCAAGCTTGATACGAGTGAACTCTGGTAACCTATTTCACCAAGTCTTTTGTCAACAACTTAAGTGCCATATCTTGAGTGACATTGTTTTCGCAAAAGGCAGACAGACCAATTGACCTATATAGGACACCCAGAGTGAATTTCGCAACATGAAGAAATTGTTGGATTAGACAGAGATCTATCTTACATATGATTACGCTCGGCCATATTAAAATGACTCTTCGAAAAAAGAGAAAGATGATGAACAGCAGATTCTTACAAAAAAAGTTCACAATATTCAAAAAACACTCAATTTATGATCTGAAATATTAGGTGAATTAAACTCAATTATAAGAGATAATCCACAAAATATCACAGTCTGATATATCCATATTAAACATAATACAATTGCAAATGCCTGCTGTTCTGAAATTTTATACAATTGTTGCAACTTGCAAGTATGTAAATTGTGCAGTATACACAATGACACTATAATGAAGCAAAAAGTTTCAATTGCAGTTTACCTTAATTAAAATTGGCCATTGTTTGTGTTTTATACAATATATATTCAGTCTTCTGCGTTTTCGTCTTGACAAGATATTTCAAGAGCGTCATCGAACTTTACCAGTGGAGCTAAATCCTCACCCACAAGGGAGTTTGTAGAATCTGCATGATTGCCTGAAGTGTTCGATACTTTATCATGATGTGCAGATAGTGCGGAATGACTTGAAGCAAAAGACCCGCTTGCTGATCCATCCATAAGATCATCATCATCGTCTAACATTGCAATAGGAGCACTTGCAAGAGAAAAAATGACTTCTTCTTCAGTATTTAGAGGGCTATTCTGATCTGGTTTTTCTGTTTTCAAAGATTTTGGAGATTTCTTTTTATCTTTAGGAGAGTCCTGTTTTGGTTTTTCTTGAACATTTGGTTGCGGAAATTTATCAGGGTGAGAAACATCTTTTTCCCCACTGCTTCTACGACTTGATTTCTTTGAACGCTTGCCTCTACTGAGCAGTGGTGATGATTTTTTATAGGAAATTTCATCATCACCAAGCGGGCTTGCACGAGCAAAACTATCTCCACTTGCTCCTAGTAAGCTGTTTTCTCCAACAGACGCTCCAGCTGAGCTGTTTGAACGATTACTGCTATTGCGTACATAAACCATTACCCCATCGCCACCTTCTGCAACTGTAATCTCGGGATTTGTTATCTCTGATGAAACATCAGAATCAAAACCATCTGGTGCTTTTGAAGAACGTGATGGAAATGATAATGTCGGCTGCTCTGTACTGGAAGTCTTTCTTTCAGGGTTATCAGAAAATCTGAAGCCATTACTTCCTTGCCAATGCCCAGAATCATCATGTGGCATTGAATCGAGACGTATTTCTTTTCTCAAATCCTTTAAACTGCCTTGTGGTCGCGGAGGCATTTTATTCAAAACATTTTCTGGTTGATGTAAATGATGGTGCATATGGCAACAGGGATCTGAACTTGGTGGAGGAGGGTATGGTATGTTCTGCGGACGTGCTGTGTTAGGTTCTGCATAATATGCACCCATCCATGGTACATAGAGAGGCTGGACCGTGGCAGGAGCTGCCGTGAACATTGTAGCTGGAGGAGTGTACGGATTAGTACTATTTGAAGGTCTGAAGTCATGCGATGGTGGCAATGCTCCTCCTCCAATTAACATATTTTGAAAATTGAGCATCGCTTTGTACATGTACTCACCAAGCTTTTCATATGGAGAGGAGGGAGAGGCAGCACTGGGAGTTGACGTCCCAGTAGAAGATGTTGGGAGTGGAAATGGATGTAATGATGTTGGTTGAGACAAGGATGTAGAATCTGGAGGCTGCGTTACTTGGTCAAAAGCTCCAAGATGGGCATTGTACGTTGCCATCATTGCTTGAATAAATGAACCACTTAGTTCGGTTTGAGTGTCTTTATTCAATTTATCCACTTCAATACCATTCACTAATGTAGTGGCAGAAAATGGTGGCAGGTGCTCCGGCTCTTCTGCAAATTCATTAGCGTTAGGTACCTCAGGTTGCTCCTCCAATCCTGAAGCAAGTTCAAACGGTACAGTTTCAATACTAGGTTGAGAATGAATTTTACGCGGCACTTCGGGGGAAAATGAATCCAAAGGTGAAGATTCTCCGGTATTGGGATGTCTAGTATCATCACTAGAAATTTTGTGGCTTGATCTCCGATTATCATTATCTGATGGTTTTCGATGACGACTCGATCTACGACTGTCATCAGAAGAATGCTTTCCTTGGCCCTTTGGTGGTTGAAGAACTTCAACTGAAATTTCATTACTCATCGGTCTGGAATGTGAGTCATTCGCTCCATCTTCAGTGTCGGTCAAGTTTTGCTTTGTCGGTCGCATGAATACTGGTGAAGCATGATGATGTGTCGCATGCTCTCTTTCTCTCCTGACAGCTGCGTCACTGTTAACATACACAGGTGAGGCTGGTGTTCGCTTGTCACTATTGTTTAGAGAAGGCATTGATTTTGTGGAATTTGTTCTTTTAATTCGCCTCATGTTTCGTTTAGCTTTGCTTTTAGCTTTTGTACTGTTGGTTGACATATCATCGTAAGATGGTGGGTACTCATCATTTTCAACGTCAGAATTACCAAAACGAATATCTTTTGCTGACAAATCAGTCTCCGAAGACGTTTGAGAGTCACGGAGGCTTCGCTTCGAATTCGGTTTATCAGATTCATAGGAATTGACAGGCTTGATATTATGTTTATCGAAACGTTTCTCGGGACTGTTTATTTCTGATGAAGGTCGTGTTCTAGCCTTCCTTCCACGGGTATCGGGATCAGAATATTGGCGATCTGATGAATCATCATGATAAGGGCGTTGATGTTTAGCTCGGCTTCTCTCATTTAAGTGAGGCTGAGATCTGGATCGCCTTGAACGATATTTCTTTTTGGCCTCATGCGGTTGGCGAGGTTCCCGTTTTATTCCTTCTGCATCGCTTCGAGAGTATTCTGCTTCTCCATTAACAACAGGACCTTCCAAATTTAAACCCCTATTTCTTTTTCCTCTTGGGTCTCCGCCAGCCCAAGTATCATATTTTGATGGTCTTGCTTTATTGTTTGGTTCTGAGGATCGACGACGATGTCGCTGCGGACTCGGTTCAAGTGTCTTGCTTTTATTTGCTGACGGTGACCTTGCACTCTTTGGTTCTTTAGTAGATCCTCGTGATGGAGGCCGTTTTTCTGGTGAAGTCTGACCAAACTGCATTTGCTGTTCTTTTCTCTTGCTTTTGAAGCACACAACAGTTCTTCTTGTCGCATCATCTCCAATGCTGAAGCTTGTTAACTTCGGAAATATTTCGGTTACTTTATGTATTAAATATCTCTCATATCCTCGAAGGGGATGAAACATCAATGCCCTGTCTTTTGGAGCCTGATATTGAAATTGTTCCAGCTCACCAAAAAGAAGGGATACAAAACGGCGATCAGCCGCACTCAAGCTTCTTCCGCCGGTATCTAACATGTGTTCGATGTTCGCGTTCATTTTTCCTATTTGTCAATTCCAAAGCTACATATATTCCATTTTACGATAAAAAAAACTGCTGCTAGTCTTCGGAGAATCAAATAAAACGGCGAGGAGCCAATGTAAACAGTCGCCGACAATCCACTACACTCGAACAACTCTAAGCTGATAATTCAGAAAGTAGCAGGGTACGAATCAAATTTTGATTAATATTCTAAGAGAGAATAATCCGTATTAACGATATGAAATCATAAGCTAATCTTTATAAGTCGTTCTACTTTAATGATTAAGCAACTACGGTATGCAAAGCACCAAAATATTCATGAAAAATTAAAATCGCCGTAAAAAGTTGGAACGCCTACTTTAACCTCTGCGCTGTCCGCAAAATGAACTCAACCAATCAACGAAGCCCTTACGCAGGCTTGACGACAGGTCGCTCGATGATAACGTCTGTATAGCTCCAGGCCGTGGATTAGCTTTTCTTTATTTTCCCGTTTAACTTTCTCCTGAACAATTTTCATCAAATTAACCATCTGACGAGGATATCCGGCAACCTGACTGCTCATTAGCAAAGTTATCAGGTTTATTATAAGAACGCAATAACTTGCCAAATTGGCCTCTGCTCTACCACAGACCAAAGTTTCAAGGTGCAGTGACGTACGGAATTCCACATGTTTAGAAAACAATCCTGCCGGAGGCGTTGATTTAACAAACAATTCTATCGTAAAGTGGTCGCAATGTTACGAATTCACCACAGGACAGACTAAACTTGTGACGCATACTCTGAAAATAGTTTCGTACGTGAAAACAGATTTCATCAACGACCTAGCACAATCGATATGGATGGCACAGACATATTTAGCTCGACTCACTTATTAACGCGAAAAGCGGTATATACATGGAAATAAAACACCGTACGCACGGTATCACACAAGGCAAGCAAAATATTTAGAATATAATTAATAAAAACGTGACCACGAAAGTTGTACAATTGTATTTTTAACAACCAGTAAAATCGGTATTCGATCACATGAAAAACTGCAGAACGTAAGTTGCGAGGGGGCCAAAGCTGATTATTGAGCAGCGACTTGTTGCCGCTAAGCTTACCAACTAAAATCGCCGTGTGGTTTCCAATCTTTCTCTGAATATTTGTCCCACACTCTATATAAAAGATAAAAAGTATGTTTCTGTTATCGGTTTAATTTGGGAAGAACCCTATTCGCAAATTGGGTTTAGCAGTAAATATATACTCACACTCTAAATAGTTTATAAGGTGTACATAACTATGTATAGGTAAGAATATTATTATATATACAGGCAAATACAAAGTACAATTTCTGTATCCCCCCCCCCCCCCTCAAAAAAAATTAAAAATTTTCTACGGGGAATTCCGTCCTGACTGGGAAAATCTGCATTAAGAAGTCGGCCGCCAGATGGAATGGGTAACTCCCACTTCAACTCGATTACTTGAAGCAAAAATGCTCCAGCTGTGAAAAAGTAGCTTGTGGGATTTTGAGGTGTCTTTGCCACCCACGCGACTACAATGGTGGAGTATTTGTCAACATATATATACTTAGTGCTTTTAACTTAGTCTGCCAGTCGCTTTTTTATCCAACCTACTTTGTCTAGAGCAGTGGTTCTCAACCTTTTTTCTTTGGTGGTCCATTTTTGTTGCCTAAAAATTCCTGTTGCCCATTAACTTTTCATTGCAAGGGGAAAACTACAGGAAAAATCAAGATCTTTCTGCGAAAATGGCCACCGAAACGTTTATAATTAGAATGAGAATTACCTCTCAATAGCAGAAACAGCATCGTCATTGATTTCAGCTACAATCAAACTTACCTATTGTGGCATAAATAAAACTAGCAACTTTCAACAGTTCTGTGGCCAACCTCAAAATCTTACTGTGGGCCATGGCCCACTGGTTAAGAACCAGTGGTCTAGCTAGAGAGTTTTGTGCCAGTGCAGTGAGCCTATTTTTAAGTTTGAACAAAACACTTCGATGGGCGACAGTGGTTTAAAGTCGTATTTCACGCTCTGAGCAGTGTGCTTGTTTTTAAAATTATTTCGCCTACCTTCAAAAAATATGTACAATATTTGATTTCTGTACAACTGCATATTATATTGTCACATAAGTTTAAATGACGTTGTTACTTTGACTTGGAGAAATTCGCGGAAACTCTTACGGACAGGGAAGGGTACATAGCTCCACGTGTGCAGTTGGCATTAAAGAAAAATGGTGGCATGCGATTGGTTTCTATTGTACCGCAATGCGGGGATTTTTCGCCAAAAACTTAATTCGGGTAAAGTTCATAGCTGTTTCTCCAACTGTGATGACTTTAACTGCTTCAAGTCTTGCGCCATTCACCCTTTTCTAGCGATTCCGCACTACAATTATTCTATTATCGATCGCCATGGCACACAGCTTTGAGCGAATATTCTAAATATTATATCACAAGGTGTTTTAATAAACGGTATCACTTGACAATAAATGACTCTCACAAAAGTTTCAATTTTTGGGATATGTATTGTTACTATAATTCTTTGAAGTATTGGGTTTGGATTGATCTAATAATAGCAGTAGCTTTGCGATAAAGTATGCAACAACACGGTCCCCATTTTCCGAATTTCGTTCATCCATTTTAATAACGTGGTCGCGAGATGTCGCTTGAGTTCTACTACTGGCAGCATAACCGAGACTAATTTTATGAATAATAAAATATGAGTAATTACTACATTCATTTAACATTTTTTCTATCCTTATAGCATTACACATCGTAGAGAACATAAGACAAACTTCCCAATTCGGATTTATTATTCGAAATGAAACGCATCCAATATGAAAAAGTGTTACGTCGCGTTATGGATGGATGTATGGATCGCTATTTGAAGGCATTCTCTATGAAGGGCTATTTAGATTCCACCTAGACAGTCGGTTTGATTTTTTCGGCAACTACACATGATGTGTACAGCCAATCATGATCACTTGTTTACTTTTTTGAAAATTATTGTATTATTTAGTGCTAGCCTATATGGCGAAGCGTAGGAAATGGTTCTCGGGTTCGATCACTGAAACATAATATGTAAATGCCGAACTCTGGGGAATGGTTCGTTTTTTTTGTATCCGATTAAAAATGGCGCAGTTTGATTTTCGCGTTGTGGCCGGCAAGACTGCCTTACCGGTAGGCTGCTGTGACAAATTGCATACACGTACTACTTCTTTGGTTTTCGTGGGCATATATATATTTGAACATCGCTCTCTTGTTTTTGATTTTTATTCATTATCCTACTCGGTGGTTCACTTTATTCTCCGTAAATAGGATTCCAGAAACTTAAATTAAATGAGATTATCGATTCTCAAATAAACAAATCTGTGTGGATATGTGCATTGATTTATTATTTCAAAACATTCATATTTATAAATAAATTAGCTTTCGTACTAAGGCTGGACAATGGACAACACGAAATGTAAACCTGTATTCACAGATCTAGAAATACGACACGACGACAAGGATTGGGTAACAATGACCCGTCAATACAACGTCATAAACAAACAGAAGAGACAAATAAACACACTTAATTAATCTCCGCTTTACTAATTGCCATTTTACTATAATCCAAAAGTGACAGAATGCGACTACCGGCTTTCAAATAGCGTAAATTGATGGAGAGGCGTGATGTGCCCTTCGGCCTCGAAACGCGGACGGATACTCGTAACTTTTGCGTAAAAAAATTTCCAATATGCGAATGCAAGTATGAAAGATGGTATTTAACAGTTGGCATCGCTTTTATCCTAGATATACTCATGGTTCGAGCGTAGTCGGTGTTGGGTAATTTAAATAGAAGTTTTGAGATTGATAAAACCACCAATTTGTCACACTCCAGTCGTAAAAATTATGTACCATAATGTTGTGTTACGGATAGTTTGAGTTAGTGTTCCCAGGTGGTCGGTTGTTCGTAATTATGCAGCATGTGTGTATTAGAATTTATTAGCACAAAAGGATCACGATCTTGGAGTTATTTGTAATAGGTTCCGTACAATGAGATAAGAGTATTGTGTCATAATATCAAATTTTTCTATGAGAGATTACCAACAATATAGGTTAATTAAACGTAGATGAAAAGTAGAAAGAACAAAAGCGAAGTGTATTTACCTTTTTCAAAATTCATAAAGCGTACTGGGGCAGCTACATTGGATATCGTTCATTTACTGTATGGCATTCAGGATATTTTACTCAAATAAAATTCCATCACCATTCTTGAGTCCACATCCATGTGATGTTATCGTCGGAAGCTAATCCTTCACAATAATTATTTGTGTGTTTTACGCAATCCGGTAATCAGCAATCAGTCTATATCGCAAGGTTGTCAATTGGTATTAATTACAAGGTAAGACCGTTCAATCAAAGAGGAACCGCCAGTTTACAACTTATCAATTAAATTTAGCTGGTGCAACCTGGTCCGTAATCGAGGATTTTGATTGACAATGTGACTAAATTGAACTACTGAGCGTAATTTTGCTTTAGAAAACATTGAAAATAACATACTTTGCGGCACTTTTTTTCTAGTTTTGAGTTGTTTTTTCAAGCCAGTCAGCTTTTTTGAACAATGTTAGTCATATTTTTGTAATTATATTTCACCATCATATTTTTCCTGAAATATTAAGTTTACCGGAAACCATACTGCAGGTCAAACTTTTCTTCTAAATCTGTGTTTCCAGTTGAACATCATAATATTTTTTTATTATCGAATAGCATTAGACTAATATTGTGCCAGAATTAAAATCTATTTATTTATTTATATATATTATTAGAGAATTCCAGACAGTTTTGATAATACAATTCTTACAAGTCGAACACTTCATTGATTTTTTATATCCATACATGGTATATTACATGGAGTACGTACATATGGGATTAGTTAAGCGATAGTATCACAGGCAAAATATTAGACATCGTTTTAAAGACGAGTGTGTATTAGGTGCCTAGATGTGATATCCTTTCAAATAATAGCAATTTTGAACAAGAAAAACATTTTACATTTTGACAGTATTCCAGATTTTTTATCAAGTTGAATTTTTGTTGTATCAACGCAATAAATAATAATTTATGAATACGTTATTATTATCATTTCAAAGCGGTTTATTCTAGCCAATTACTTGTAACGTAAAATGCATTCTGAAATCACGGGACAGACAAGCTGTGATTACTTGCCCTGCGTTTCTCCCCTTTTGAACCATCGTAGTCATACATACATACTAAAAATATTACTAGATTGAACGATTAGTCATACTTCTATGATTTCCACTTTTTTATCATAAACTTTATGAATAATAATTTATTTATTATCAATTGTTGAAAATTGTTGTTTCTTTCCATATTCTTGTATTATACTAAAGCGTTACTTTCGTGAAAACATTCACCACCTCTAGATGATTTTTAGTTCAAAACCCGTCAGTCTGGCTATGTTGGGACGTTGCGACTTTTAGGTCATGCGTCTTTGTCGAGAGCAGTATATATTTGTATATATATATATATATCTTTATGATCATTTGAAACGCTTATTTACAGAATATACTCTGTGGCAAAAATGAGTTGTCCCAAATATTTGTTAAGTAATGAGCTGTATATAATAGCCACGGAAAGAACGAAGGAGAGTGTGTGTGTGAGAAAAAGAGAGAGAGTGATATGAGATATAAAACCA